ATGGGGAGCAGCCGCATGGATCATGGACGTACGAGCGACGTCCATGACCATGCCAATGCGGCGCTCAGCAATCCCATTTTGCTGTGGGGAGGCCGGAAGCGTGAACGTCTGGCGGATGCCCTCCGCACGACAGAAGGCCCTCAGGAGGTCGGAGGAAAACTCACCACCTGTGTCTGAGTGCAGACGCAGAACAGGAAGGTCCGAGCTTGAAACTCTCGCTGAGCTGGCGACGAGCACCGCGGATCCAGTCGATCAACACCTCAGTGACGTCATCCTTGCTGTGCAAGGGGAAGACTGAGGTGTAACGCGAGTAGTCGTCAGCGACCAGCAGGAAGTAACGCTCGTGACCCTGTCCACAGACGCGGGCTGGGCCCCACACGTCCATGTGAAGAGTCTGCAGAGGAGCCTCAGTCGGAGGAAACGAGGAGGAGTGAGGGGCGGCGCGCTGCCGGCCCTCGACACAAGGAACACAGGTGGGGGCAGGCCCCGGAGGAAGGGGAGGGAGTGACCTGGGTAGACCCGAGACAAGGGCACGGGAGGCCATACCTCGAAGACGAGGCAGGGAGGGGTGACCAAGGCGGTGGTGCCAAAGGAGAGTCTCGTGTGCCAAAGGGCAACACGAGCAGGGGGCAGACGCAGGACTAGACCTGGACGCGGCAGCAAACACCTGACTGGACGCAGCTACCTGACCAGACGCAGAGACCGGAGGAGGCGCAGTAGTCAGTGTGTACAGACTCGACCCTGGCCGACGAGTGAACGTGGCCAGGTGACGGCCCGTCCGAGAGCAAGTGCAGTGGGTCACACGCTGACCTCCAGGGGTGAACTGGTCAACCCACGCGTCCTGGAGGTCAGCTCCACTCACCAGGTTCGTAGAGAACGAGGGGAGGTGGAGTCCCGACAGCAAGCCCGACGGGGCCGCAGGACACGGTAGGACAGTGGAGGAGTGTGCAAGTACTGGGCCCCCTGAGGGGTCAGCAAGGGAGACCGCAACAGGCCGACGGAGCGGCGTGAGCGTAGTGCTGTCTCTAAAGAAAGAGCGCGAAGCACCAGAGTCAAGTGTGAAGGTGTGCAAGGACTCAGTAGGTGCAGTACCTGAGAGAGGAGACGTACCAGCACCTGGAGCAGCAGACGCACTAGCACCTAGAGCAGCAGCCGCACTAGCACCTAGAGCAGCAGCCACAGTGCCCGGGTCGGGCGGGACACGCAGGTAACAGTCACCCTCAGTAATATCAGCAAGAGCATACATGGCAGTAATGATAGCATCAAAGTCTAGATCAAAGATAGGCACATTCTGCAGAAGCAGATCATGCCAATGAGGAAGATCAACAGCGTCAGGAAACTGGGTACGCCAAGCGTCAGTCAGGCGGCCGAAGCAGCGCTGCGTGGTGTGTGGGAGACCACACACCTCCCCACTACGAGTGCCTGTGCGAAGAACGTACGTGCAGGGACCTGCACCCCCAGACCTACCACGCCCAGCGTACCACTCACGAAGCTGCTGAACAGACGGGGTCTCACGGGTGCGCAGCTGCTGCTGACGCTGGCCGCCACCAAGGCCTCCACGCTGCGTGGCTGCACCGCGACCAGCACCACCTCCTCCGCTACCTCCACCACCGCTGCCGCCGCCTCCACCGCCTCCGCCACCGCCTCCACGGCCTCCACTGCCGCCACCGACGCCCCCACCCCCGGGACCACCCCCACCACCACCTCCACCTCCTCCACCGCTTCCTCCACCGCCCCCTCCACCACCCTTGCTTCCCTTGCCCTTGCTAGTGCGGCGTCGCCAACTAGGGGCAGACGCAGCGCCGACCTCCTCAGTGCCAACGAGGTCGTCAGCAGCAGCAGAGGCAACAGAGGGGAGAAGGGGGACAGGGGAACACCCCTCAAAGAAGGGGGTGCGACGGTCGCCGCGAGAAGCCCCAACAGCTAAGATACTCTTCTCAGCTGCAGCAAGGCGCTCCTCTAGCAAGTCGACAGTCAGCTCGGTAGGGCAAAGGGAGAGAAAGTGATCCCTGACTGAGGAGAGAGAGTCAGGGAGGCGGGTGACTAGGTGGTAAAGGGTGATGTACATTGGGGGGGAGTTCGTGGGAAGAAACTCAGTGGGAAGGGCAGCGCGGTAGCGAGCGTCACTAGTGCGGAGGTGAGCAACTAGGTCAGCAACTGTGGCAAAGGTGGCAAGGTCAGGAAAAAGGTACGGCAGCATGAGGCGGCTGAGGGCAGCAGTGGTAGGGGAGGAGTAGCATGCAACTACAGCGTCGTACAGAGCCCTAGCACTCTTGTACTGACTAAAGTGCGCGCGCTCAGTAGACGGCAGGTGATTGCGCACAGCAAGACGAGCAGCAGCATCGCGCGTGAGCCACTGCGAGCGAACAGTACTGTCAGCATCAGCAGTAGGGGCAGTAGAGGCGCCAGACGTGAGATCGAACAGTGAGAGACCATCCTTGCTATCGAACTGTAGGAAAAGCTGCAGATCATCTAGCCAGACCTCAAAGTCAACAGCCCGACCCTCAGCATCAAAGGTAAGAACATTGAGACTAGCCATGACAGGAGAAGCAGCAGGCTAGCAGCAGCAGCAGTGAAACTCGGCTAAGCAGGCTAGGCAGGGCGGCGCAGCTCGGCAGGGCAGCGACGCTCGGCAGCGCGGCGCTCTTACCAGGGGAGAGGCTGGGGCAGGGCCGGGGTAGGGCCGGGGCAATTCAGGAGCAGGGCCGGGGCAGGGCCGGGGCAGTTCAGGAGCAGGGCCGGGGCAGGGCAGGGGCAGGGCCGGGGCAGAGCTGGGGCAGGGCCGGGGCAGGGCCGGGGCAGAGCCGGGCAGTTCAGGAGCAGGGCCGGGGCAGGGCCGGGGCAGAGCCGGGCCAGGGCCGGGGCAGTTTAGGGGCAGGGCCGGGGCAGTGCAGGAGCAGTGCCGGGGCAGTTCAGGAGCAGGGCCGGGGCAGGGCCGGGGCAGAGCCGGGGCAGGGCCGGGGCAGTTCAGGAGCAGGGACGGGGCAGTGCAGAAGCGGGGCCGGGGCAGTTCAGGAGCAGGGCCGGGGCAGTTCAGGAGCAGGACCGGGGCAGGGCCGGGGCAGAGCTGCGACAGGGCCGCAGCAGGGCCGGCTGGGCCTGAAGGGGGCCTCTAACGGGGCCTGACGGGGCCGTACGGGGCCTCTAACGGGGCCTGACGGGCCTTACGGGGCCTTAAACGGGGCCAAATGGGGCCTGACGGGGCCGTACGGGGCCTCTAACGGGGCCTGACGGGGCCGTACGGGGCCTCTAACGGGGCCTGACGGGCCTTACGGGGCCTTAAACGGGGCCAAATGGGGCCTGACGGGGCCGTACGGGGCCTCTAACGGGGCCTGACGGGGCCGTACGGGGCCTCTAACGGGGCCTGAAGGAGCCTTACGGGGCCTCTAACGGGGCCTGACGGGCCTTACGGGGCCTTAAACAGGGCCAAATGGGGCCTGACGGGGCCGTACGGGGCCTATAACTGGGCCTGACGGGGCCGTACGGGGCCTCTAACGGGGCCTGACGGGGCCTTACGGGTCCTTAAACGGGGCCAAACCGGGCCTGACGGGGCCTTACGGGGCCTCAAACGGGGCCTGACGGGGCCGTACGGGGCCTCTAACGGGGCCTGACGGGGCCGTACGGGGCCTCTAACGGGGCCTGTCGGGGCGTTACGGGGCCTTAAACGGGGCCAAACGGGGCCTGACGGGGCCTTACGGGGCATAACGGGGCCTTACGGGGCCTGACGGGGCCTTAAACAGGGCCCTAAACGGGGCCTTAAGGGGCCTTACGGGGCCTAACGGGGTCTTACGGGGCCTTACGTGGCGGGCGCTAGCTATGAGGGCAGGCGCAGGGGCCGCGACGGGCCTCGAAGGGAAGGCGCGACGCGCGCGTCAAGTAGGCAGTGAAGAATTTCAGTGGTGGGCCCTTTTAAAGAATTCTCGAAACTAGCTCTATACCATGTGAGAATGATAGACGAAAGAATGAATGAACTAGGAATGAGATGGGTACAAATAGAAAACACATAAGTGTTGTACCCTCTAAGAGCTACCCCACTACAGCCTAAATAGACCATAGCAGATATAAGTTTGACAACAACCAGTGTCCTAGGCGTAGAGAAAAACCGTGAAAGATTGAAACAGACACAACAAAGTGATGGGGTTTCCAACGACCCCTGTGACTCTGCTCCGAAGTGGATTGAGAATTGAAGTTTTAGGGCGTGTCCGAATTTCTATCTGCAACGCCTACGAAATTCGCTTCTGTCATGTCGGGAAATCTGAACCTTACGATCGGAGTTTTCTACAGTCAAGATTGTTCGTTAGCGTAGACGAAGTCGAAATTTATTCTTCGGAGACGCGGTGAATGGCTCCCAACTCCAAAATTGAGCATCTGCCTCTACACCGTCCAAACCCTGGACGTGGCAGCATCTGGGAAAGCGGTTGTGCTGCCATAATGTAACCCAATCAGCAGGAAGGGTCGAGAGTTTCCATGACATGTGGATCGCCATATGCCATGGTAACCAGATAGGATTAGATCCCAGTATAAGCAGTTTCGCGTGAATCCTGTAAAAAAATATTGGTATATTTTTCGATTCAACTACATACTCCATCATTGTTACACCTGCGTGAAGTAAATGGAACGGTACATAGAATTATATTATACCTATAAGACATTCGTACCAGGTACAAAAGGCTCGCCAAACATAATACCAAAGGAAAAACTATTATACATCAAAATAACATTTACGTTTACGTTTGTGACACGCAACCAACTTTCGTAACCTTACCAACCAATTATAAGACCTAGCTGGTTTACCAGGAAATTCAACTTCAACGGTTTACTAATAGCTCATTGTTACAACCATTTCGTACATGTAACAGCGCGATTGACTGATTGCTACCACCGAACCGACCACCCGAGTCTGCGTGTTGACATCAAACCTCCAGAAACACGCGCACCTCTTCACATTTCACGCAACACCCGAACAACACTCCCAAGCAACATGCGAGCCAGAGTTTCGCATGATTCCCAACCCCTGCAAGACGAGGAAGATTCGAACAAGACTCGAGCAACACACGATCCCCTCCCCCCTGTTTTGCGATGAGGACGTTGCGCACGTGGCGTACGCTGACTCGGAGTTGGATCCAACGTGGCAGGATGAGGGTTTCGCTGGGAACGGTCGCGTGGTCGCTGGTGTTCGTGCTTCTCCTGTCCTCGCCGTTCCAGAGTACGCGCGTCTCTCACTCCATCCGGTCACAATACATATCCCCCCTTCAATGTCATTGTTTGTTTCATGTTGTCGTTTTAGGCTGAAAATTTTTCTTTCTTCGCTACTGTTTTTTCTATATTTGCGGCGTTGGTTCTGCTGTTGTGCTCTTTCTATTCTGACATACATACTTTCTTTCCTCCTCACCCCCTGGCATGTCATCTCGTGCAACCGCATCCCACCCCACCCCTTTCCATCACGTCTTGCCACATGCCAACACGCACCACACCATACCCCATTTCTGCTCTCGCAATGCATCCCTCCTCCCCGTCCCGCATTTCAGTGGTTCTTGGCTCTGCAGGCCCTTCGGTAGCATCCAATGTGGCAGAGAGTTCGCCTGGCGTAGCCGCAGCAGCTGAAGAAACACCTGGAGCTAAAACACCTGGAACAGGAACACCTGAAGGAGAAATTCCTGGAGCAGAGTTACCTGAAGATGAGGCACCTGGAGCAGTGTCAAGAAGAGAATTAACAGACAGAGCTACAGAAGAATTTCGAGCAAGGGAGGGGGTAGAAGAAGCGGCAGTTGCTGCCACAACGGCAGAGACTGGAGCAGCAAGAGCAGCAGGGGGGGACGACACAGGAGCACCAGCAGGGAAAGCAGCAGCAGGGGAAGCAGCAGAAAAGGAAGCAGCAGGGGCAGGAGGAACAGGAAGAACAACAGTAGGAGTTACTGCTGAGCATAATGGTTCACCTGGTAACAGCGATGGTAGCAGCAGCAGTAACAGCGATGGTAGCAGCAGCAGTAACAGCGATGGTAGCAGCAGCAGTAACAGCGGCAGCGGTAGCGGTGGCAGCGGTGGCAGCATGAGGCGGCACCACCATCTGTCTGATCCCAGTAAGGTGGCTGGCAGGGCAGGCCGGAAAGGCCACAGCCTTGCAGGGGAAGGCGCTGGGGCAACAGGGGAAGGCGCTGGGGCAACAGGGGAAGGTGCAAAGGCGGGAGGCAGGGGCAGTGTGCAGGGAGGTGGCGGCAATCCCAAGGTTGCTCGGTTCACTAATGAGGATCTGCTAGATGCCATGGATATGCTGGTGAGTGACGTGGATATGCTGGTGAGTGACGTGGATATGCTGGTGAGTGAAGTGGATATACTGGTGGGTGACGTGGATATGCTGGTGGGTGACGTGGATATGCTGGTGGGTGACGTGGATATGCTGGTGAGTGACGTGGATATGCTGGCGAGTGACGTGGATATGCTGGCGAGTGACGTGGATATGCTGGCGGGTGACGTGGATATGCTGGTGGGTGACGTGGATATGCTGGTGAGTGAAGTGGATGTGCTGGTGAGTGACGTGGATATGCTGGCGAGTGACGTGGATATGCTGGCTAGTGACGAGGATATGCTGGTGAGTGCCATGTACATGTGCATTGTCTATACATGGTGGGCTAAGCACATCCTCCCTAATCCCATAATCGCCTCCCTCCCCTTCCCCTGCCCCTCCCTCCTGCTCTTAGTTCGCCTGCAAGGCCAAGCGCAACGTGTCAGCAGCCCTGCAGCAGTTGCAGCACATGACCGTCCTCTTGCTGCCCCTCCCCTCAAGTCCCTTCCATCCCTCCTCCTCCCTCTTCCCCATCCCCCTCCCAGTTCGCCCGCAAGGCCAAGCGCAACGTGCCAGCAGCCCTGCAGCAGTTGAAGCACATGGCCTCGCTCCTGCCGCCCCTCCCCCCCGCGCCCTTCTTCCCCTTCCCCTCCAGCCCCGCCCCTCTGCCTCCAACTTACTCCTCCTCCTCCCCATCCTCCCCTTCCTCTCAACTCTCCTCTTCGACAGCAGAAACGGGGTTGGGGAATCGGGAACAGGAGGGGGGAGTGGGTGGAGGGGGAGGGGCAGGGGAAAGTGCAGGGGTAGCGGCTGGGGGAGGAGCAGGGGGAGTAGGAGGGGCAGTGGCAGGGGGAGGGTCAGATGCAGGGCGGATACAGGGATCTGTTGAGTTCAATGAAATGGGTGATCAGGCAGTGCAGGCAGGGAGGGTTGCGGTAGAGGGTGGGGCAGTGCAGGCAGGGAGGGTTGGGGTAGAGGGTGGGGGAGTGCAGGCAGGGAGGGTTGCGGCAGAGGGTGGGGGAGGGCAGGCAGGGAGGGTTGCCGCAGAGGGTGGGGGAGGGCAGGCAGGGAGGGTTGCCGCAGAGGGTGGGGTGGTGCAGGAAAGCGGCCTTCCACAAGGAATTGCAGGTGCAGATGCTGCCTGGCGGGCTGATGCTCTGAGAGCCCTGAAGGAAGATGATGATGGGGCAGTGCAGGCAGGGGGGGTTACAGCAGAGGGTGGGGCAGTGCAGGGGAGTAGCCTTCCACAAGGGATTGCAGATGCAGATGGTGCCTGGCGGGCTGATGCCCTGAGAGTGTTGAAGGAAGAAGATGTGGAGGATGAAGGCAATGAGAGGGATGAGGGTGATGAGGGGGATGAGGGTGAAGAAGAGGAGGAAGAGAGTGAGGAGGAGATTGAGGAAGAGATTGAGGAGGAGATTGAGGAGGAGGAGGAAGCGGCAGGGAGAGACGAAGGGGGGAGGGGGCAGGAGGAAAGGGCGCCGTTGGGATTGAGAGGGGGAGAAGAGAGCGAGGGGAGGGGGGGAGATGAGGGGGTAAGTGAGGAGGAGGTGGTGGTGGCGAGTGATGCAGCTTTTCTGCTGGCTGTGATGGCTGCTACAGGATTCGCAGGGGAGGTCTACCCGAGGAATGAAACATTGGTGAGTGAGTGAGTGATCGAGAGAGCGAGTGAGTGAGTCAGTGAGCGAGTGAGTGAGTGACTGACTGACTGACTGGTTGAGAGAGTGAGTGAGAGAGTGAGTGAAAGAGTGAGCAAGTGAGTGACTGAGCGAGTGAACGATCAAGGGAGGAGGAGGTGGTGGTGGCGAGTGATGCGGCTTGTCTGCTGGCTGTGATGGCAGCTACAGGCTTTGCTGGGGAGGTTCACCCAAGGAAAGAGACTCTGGTGAGTGAGTGGTTGAGAGAGTGAGTGGGTGAATGGGTGAGTGTGTGGGTGAGTGCGTGAGATTGAGAGAGCGAGTGGGTGAGTGAGTGAGTGGGTTGGTGAGTGCCTGAGTGACTGAGTGAGTGAAAGGATGAGTGAGTGGGTGGGTGAGTCCGTGAGTGATTGAGTGAGTGAGTGTGAGTGAGAGGGTGATTGAGGGTTTGTATGCAGTTCATGTCTCTTTCCAGACACAGTGAACCCAGACAGACATAACTCTTGTCATTCCAATCATCCAACCTCCTTCCTCTAGTCATCCACCCGCCTGCCTCTTTATCCTGCCAGGCGCTGCACTACCTGCGGGTGGCAGCAGAAACCGGCTCCATGCAGGCAGGGAAGGAACCCACAGACAGACACACACCACTCCTTCCACTCAACTAAACCTTCTCCTTTTCCACGTCTCATCTGCCCTCTCGCGTCGTTATCTTATCCCGTCAAGCGCTGCACTACCTGCGGCTGGCAGCACAGACTGGTTCCATGCAGACAGACAGTCACCACGCCATCCACTCACCTCTCAATTCTCCTCCTCTTATCCCCCCTCCCGCGTCCCACAGGCACTGCACTACCTGCGGCTGGCAGCAGAGACTGGCTTCATGCAGGCAGGCGGAGGAGAACCCACAAACATGCACCAGTCCTTCCACTCAACTCAACCCTTACCGTTTCCTCCTATCACCCACCCTCCTTCTCCTTTATCCCGACAGGCCCTACACTACCTGCGACTGGCAGCGGAGACCGGCTCCATGCAGGCCATGGCTGCACTTGCCAGCCGCTTCCTCTATGTGAGTTGCCCAAATTCTGTCCTCTATATAAGCTGATTTTTTCACAGAAATGATGCGACTCCCAGGCTCCATGCAGGCCGTGGCTGCACTCGCCAGCCGCTTCCTCTATGTGAGTGCTCGCTGTGATCTTTATAAAGTGATGCAGTAGGAGGATGATGAAGCTCTCTGGCTCCCCTGTAGGCCATGACAAACACCCACCCACCGAAGGATTTCTCTATGCTAGTGAATTTTCCATCCTCGATGTAAGCAGACTCGTTATCCTCTTTGTGAGCTGATCCATCATGCATGTCACAGCTTAAAGTGATTCTCAATGCTGGATTTGAATCCTATGTTATATGTAAGATACAGGCACCTTGGATTTAAAACCACCGAGACGAACCCGAAGGGTTGCGGGGTGCCCTTTGAGACTCTAAGGCAGCATCACTCGCTCGCATTCTGCCACAGCACACCATTTTTTAGAATTCTCAAATGTGATTTTTGGAGAATTCTCAGAAGTGATTTTTGGAGAATTCTCAAAAGCAATTTATGGATAATTCTAAAATCTTGGAGAATTCTCAAAAGGTATTTCCATGTTGCGGGGTGCCCCCTGAGACTGTAAGGCATCATCGCTCGCCTACTGCCGCAGCACACCAGCAGTCCTGTCCGCAGCAGCAGGGGCGTCGATTGTTTGGTGCAATAATGACACCCTCTTTTGCCCCTTCCCACCACTCTCTGTTGCAGGGTCGTGGAGTGCCCACAGACTGTGAGGCATCACTCGCCTACTACCGCAGCACAGCAGCAGACCTGTCAGCATTCACTCCCTTGCTCTGCTCCCTTCATTGCGTGCAGGGCTGTGGAGTTCCCACGGACTGTGAAGCATCGCTCGCCTACTACCGCAGCACAGCAGCAGACCTGTCAGCAGCAGCAGATGCATCAATAGCTTTAGGCCATTCTGAACCCCCCCTTTCTTGGCCTTTCCCACCACTCTCAACCACTATCTGTTACAGGGCTGTGGGCTGTGGAGTGCCCGCTGACTGCAAGGCATCGTTTGCCTACTACCGCAGCACAGCAGCGGACCTCTCAGCAGCAGCAGAGGCGTCGATTCTTGGTGCAATACTGAAACGTGTTTTGCCCCTCCCAACCACTCCCAACCACTCTCTGTTGCAGGGCCGTGGAGTTCCCACGGACTTGCCTACTACCGAAGCACAGCAGCAGACCTATCAGCAGCAGCAGAGGCATCAAACGTTTCTGATCACTCCGAAACCCATTCTTGCCCCTTCCCACCACTCTCAACCACTCTCTCTCGTGCAGGGCCGTGGAGTTCCCACGGACTGTGAGGCGTCACTCGCCTACTACCGCAGCACAGCAGCAGACCTGTCAGCAGCAGCAGAGGCGTCAGGCGATCAGCAGCTGCCCAAGGACCCCGTGCGTCTGAGGGACTGGTTCCGCGACGGGGGGTTCCAGCCCCAAGCATTCGACGAAGACCACGCAGAGCAGGTGAGTGAGTAACAGCCTGAGTAGCTAGGTGAATGAAGGCCCGATGCTTCTTTTGTTTTGTGCTAGTGCGGAGGCCGCAGCAGCAGTAGAGGCTTCAGGCGATCAGCAGCTGCCCAAGGACCCCGTGCGCCTGAGGGACTGGTTCCGCGATGGGGGCTTCCAGCCTCAGGCGTTTGACGACGACCATGCGGAGCAGGTGAGTATTGGTGGCCTGACTATGTGCTTCCTTGGTGCTGGTTCAGCAGCAGCAGAGGCATCGGGATACCAGCAGCTGCCCAACGACCCTGTTCGTCTAAGGGACTGGTTCCGTGACGGGGGTTTTCAGCCTCAAGCATTTGACGATGACCATGCGGAGCAGGTGAGTCAGAAGCTCATGCTGCTCTGCCTTGTTCCCCTCGTGATCCGGCAGCAGCAGCAGAGGCAGAGGCGTCGGGCTACAAGGAAGGGGGACTGGTTCGTTGTAGCTACCAATCACCGTTTACCGGGGGGGACTGGACAGAGCAGGGCCAAGGAGTGACAATCCTTTCCTTTTCCGTTCCCCCTTTCTCTCCTTTCGCCACTTACGCCCCTCACCCCTCCTAGACCTCGTCCGCGCCCCTCCTCCCAACCCCCGCCCTTCCTCCCTCCTAGATGTAGTTTGATAAGAGGGCCCAATTACTTGCCCTCTTTTGAGGCGCCTTAAAAATTGCGGGTAGAGGGACGACTTTTGAGGCGCCTCAAAAGTAATCTCTATCCTCCCTAGATGGAGTTTGAGTCGAGAAGAGGGTCCAAGTGACTTTTGAGAATTCTCAAAGGTCCAAGTGCTTGCCCTCGTCTTCTCTCCTAGCCCCCCCTTACCCGTCTCCTCCCCTCACCCCCCTTCCCCCGCCCTCTGCCCTATCCAGGTTGAGCTTGAGCACGACCTGGCAGAGCGCGGGGCATCGGAATTTTGCTTCCTTTCTCTCTTTACCCTCTTGCACCCATCTTTACCCTCTTGCACCCATCTTACCCTTCTCCCCCGCCCCTCCTCCCCGCCCTCTGCCCTACCCAGGTGGAGTTTGAGCAGGACCTGGCAGAGCGCGGGGTACCGGAGTCCCTTCGGCTAATGGGATTCCGCCACCTCATCGGCCAGGGGATCCCCCGCAATCCCCAGGAGGCCCTGCGCCACTTCCGATTGGCCGCTGCTGCTGGTGATGACGTGGCAGCCTTCAACCTCGGCTACATGCACATGACCGGGGCAGGCGGGGCGGTTCCGAAAAACTTCACCGCTGCCCGGAAATACTTCCTGCAGGCGGCTTCGGGCAGGAACAAACTTGCAGCTGCCCAGAACGGGCTGGGGGTCCTGTATCAAAACGGGTGGGGGGTTCAGCAAGACTTGAACCTGGCACGTGAATTCTTCCTGAAAGCAGCAGAGAGAAACGATTCGGACGCGCTTTCGAACTTAGGGTACATTCACTTTGACGGGCTGGGCGTGCCTGCGAATGCGAGTGCAGCAGTGGGTTATTTCGAGAGGGCCATGGATGCAGGGCAATGGAGTGCCCCCTATACTCTGGCTAGGATTCTCGATGGATCACTGGTTTCCGTTTCTGCTGCTTACTCTGCTGCTGTCGCTGCTGCTGCTGGTGCTGCTGATTCTGCTGCTGCTACAGTTCCCCGGAACTGCTCCCGGGCGGCGAAGCTGTATGGCATTTTTGTCTCGGAGCGCATCGGGTGGGCGGCGGAGCTGAAGGAAGCTGCTGCGGCGTACGAGGATGGGGACTGGTGGAGCGGTTTGGTGCGGTACGGAATGGTGGCGGAGGAAGGGAGCAAAGTGGCAGCAGAGAATGCTGCCCAAATGCTTGTGCACAGTCAAGGTTACTCGGGTGAGTGGGTTGGGAAGCATGAGAGGGGTACTTGAGCAAGTGGAATGGAAGGGGTGGATGGGTGAGTGGGATAGGGGTGGGGTCTTGAGGTGTTGGAACACACAGTCCCTAGTTGGGTGGGATTGGTGAGTTGGGTTGTGCTGTCATGTGCTCCCCTTTTTTCCCCCCTTACTCCTCTCCACCAGCCCCGGCTCGCCATTCTCTTGTGCTAGATCATGCTATGACGGCCCCCATTTTTCTCTTGCGATGTCCTTTTTGCGGAGAGTCACTCAACACCAGTGGGATCTAGACTTTTGGGAAAGCACGGGTGGTACGAACGAATGATCGTTGCGTTCTCTCTAGCACTTGCTCATGTGTGGGTTCTCGGGGCAACAAAATCATACAAAAGAGATTGGCAATGGTGACTACACCTGGGACCTAGCGGGCCTAGCAAGCAGGCTGGTCGACCTCCAGCGCAGCACGAGGGCGGTTTGCCAGCGCGGCAAGTCGGCGGCGTGCCAACGCAGCTCGAAGGCGGGTTGCTAACACTGCAAGTCGGCGATCTACCAGCGCTGCATCAGGGCGGCTTGCCGACGCTGCAGCAAGGCGGTTGGCCAGCATTACAACCGCAAGTTTCCCTACTTCGCAGGTGCAGGTAGACGGTTGAGCACGTTGTGCACCGCTACGCACAGCGCGCAGGTGCCTAGTCGGCCACGTGCCGACAGTTGCGCCAGATGTACCACGTCGACCACGTGCTGACACGTCGGTCGATTTCGCCAAGACCACCTGGACGACATTCGCGCACTCCCGCAGAACTTCGTCGACTAGGTTACACGGTCGACCAGAGGAGGCCGCCGAAATCCACAAGTCCGCACCCCCCAAGTCGGCGCCATGTCAACGAACACCTTCATCGGCCGCCGATTTCACCTCGTCGACCAACGCCACGGCCGGCTTCCCCGAAGTCGGCTAACGCTGCAAGTCAGCTAACCACGCCGACTTGATCCACTCCACCAATTCAGCGTCGGCCAGGAAGTCGGCTTCGCCGCAGTCGTCTTCGCCGAATTTGGCTCCATGGACGTCGGCCAACCAAGCCAATTTGCTCCTCCATGACGACGCTGATCACGAAGTCCAGTCGGCTGCACACCTTGCACGTCGATCAGCGACGCCAACTTCGCCCAAGCGAGGGCGGGGGCAGATCTCCGATCAACACTTTCCTCCTTCCCCCCTCCCCTCCTTCCCTTCCCTCCTTCCCCCCACCAGCCTCCGACCGCTATGCTCTAGCGCTGGACCACATGATGAGGGCGGTGCACATCAGGTCATCCCCAGCCATAGTGGATGCGGCTCTGATCACACTCCTGTTCATGCGTCATCCCTCGTGTTGCCCTTCAGCCCTCTGCAATGTCCCCCTTCCACCAGCCTCGGATCGCTATTCGTTGGCGCCAGACCACGGAATGAGGGCGGTGCACATTGGGTCGGCACCAGCCATGGTGGATGCGGCGCTCCTCATGCTCATCCACCACTTTCCCTGACTCACACTCATGCTTGTGCTCCATCCCTTTGCCCTTCTCCCTCTGCATCCCCCACCCCTCCCACCAGCCTCTGACCGCTATGCTTTAGCACTAGACCACGCAATGAGGGCGGTGCACATCGGGTCGGCACCAGCCATGGTGGATGCAGCGCTCCTCATGCTCATCCACCACCTGCCCTCGCTAGTGCCACTTCCACCGCCACCACCGCACTCCACCGTTTATCCACACGCACAGGCAATCCCAGCCGCTGATTCGCACCTTTCCGCACAGTCGATCGCAGCCATTGATACACACCATGCAGGACAATCACTCCCATCCGTTGATCAGAACTCCACAGCAGGACAGTCAGTGACCGCTGCCCCTGACCCTCTCCCGTGCGACCCACTGTCTCTGCTGAAGCGGGCAGCAGACTTGCACGAACCAGAGGCTCTTTTCCACCTCGCATACCTCCATATAGTGGGCCTCGATAACAGCACCGGCGGGTACAGTGTAGGATCAGTCCTGTGGAGCAGCAGCAGTGCCACCAGCACCAGTGGCAGGACCACCATTAGCAGCAGCAGCAGCAGCGGAAGCAGCAGCGGCGGCAGCGGCAGCAGCAGCAGCAGCAGCAGCAGCAGCAACGCCACTGTTACCATCATAGTCCCAGTGAACTTGACTCGAGCACACGAGCTGCTCTCCTCAGCGCTGCTCTACTGCCACAACGACGAGGCTCTCCCTGTCTCCCTCGCCCTCCACTCCCTCTCCCTCCTCCGCCTCCTCCCCCCCTCCCTGCGCTCCCTCCTCCTGCCCCTCCTTCCTCGCTATGCCATCTCTTCCTCCACGTCACCACCCGGTGCGATGTCGTTCGTTAGGGCGGTCGTGTCAGCGCTGAGTCGCGCTGCGTCAGCGGTGATGCAGTCTGCGTCAGCAGCTGTGCAGTGGTGGCTGGATTTCGAGGACTATGTGTTTGGGGAGCTGGAAAACATGCTTTTCCCTGAGGATGGCAACAGCTATGGTAGTGGCATGAGCGATACTGGTAGCACCAGCAGGAGCAGCAGTAGGAGCACCAGCAGCGGCGGCGGCGGCAGCAGCAGCAAGGGCAGCAGGGTGTGGCAGGAGTTGGGGGAGTGGGACACAGTGGTTGTGATGGTGCTGCTGGGCATGCTCTCTGTGCTCTGGTGGTTCCGTACCACCACTGCTGCCGCTGCCCATGCTGCCATTGCTGATGCTGATGCTGCCATTGCTCATGCTCATGCTGCCGTTGCTGATGCTGTAGCGGATGCTGGTGCTGCTGCTGCTGCTGTTGCGGAACCAGCAGCTGCTGGTGATGCTGGTATTAGTGGTGCCGATGCTGGTATTAATGGTGCCGATGCTGGTATTAGTGGTGCCGATGCTGGTATTAGTGGTGCCGATGCCGGTATTAGTGGTGCCGATGCTGGTGATAGTGGTGCCGATGCTGGTATTAGTGGTGCCGACGCTGGTGTTAGTGGTGCCGACGCTGGCAATGCTAACGCTGATGCTGCTGCCACCAGTGCCAGTGCAGCTGCTGTCAATGCTGCTGATACTGCCGCTTCCAATGCTGCTGCTGGTGGAGTGGAATCTCTTAATGCTCGTGGTGGTGGGGGCGAGAGACATGAGGGACAAGAGAGACATGAGAGGCATGAGAGGCATGAGAGGCATGAGAGGCATGAGAGGCATGAGAGGCACGGGGAAGGCAGGGGTAATGGGGAAGGCGAATGTGGAGGCTCCGTCCACTAGTGGTGGTGAAACAAGTGGTGGGGCGGGTGCTGGGTTGCGGCAACGACAAGTGCAGCAGCAGGTAGACGGTTATACCCCCAACTAGTGACTCAAAGTATACTGCTTTTAGAAAGTGATACCAGAGCATAACATTGTGTAGAAGCTGGAGAGGGATGTTACAGGATTCCATTCCATGGGCTGTCTGGCTGGCTCCCCGACTTGGTTAATTTTTAGTGTGTTGTCCTGCTCTTACGATTTGATGGGTTACGAGCAGGCCCCTATATTCGTTTTGGGACACGCTGATCGATCAGCATGCACCCCTCTTGGAACTGTCAGTCAGCGTTGCCTCCAATTTTTAGGCTGAAATTTCAGACAACACTAGATTTTTTACGCTAAACATTCAGCGTTACACTCAAATTTTAGGCTTATCACTTTTATAAGCAATATTACCGTATAAACATTTCAACTATCTGAATCAGAGTCTGACAGAGGACCTTCTACAGGAGCACGCTCAACTACTGGCTCCTCTACAGGCTCCTTCCCAACCCTTGGGGGCTCCCTCTCTCTTGCAGCAGGTGCTGTGACTGGCCGGCGCTTCTTGTAGCTGCGTCAAATCTCTACTACTCCTGGCAAGTCTAGCTCATAGTCTAGCAATGACATACACAACAGATCACTGAGCCAACAGTCCTTGATACTGCCCCTCTGCCACGTTTTGATGAGATTATGTCGAGAGAAGTCTCTCTCACACTCGACAGTGCTGAGAGGCGGCATTGCAATCGCCACCCAGAGTTCGACGAGGTTGGGGTACGACTGCTGCCAATCGGGTGTCTTGAGAATTGCTGTCAGTCCCGCATGGAACTTTCGCTCGCTCTTAGGAGCTCTGGCCAGGACCGGGCACAGAGTCCGCAGCTCCTTCACGGCACGCTTCTTGTCAATGCCTGCAAGGTAAGAGAAGGCAGTGGATTAGTAAATGACGGATTTTCAACGGTCGAACGAGTTACCAATCACGAACTAACCTGGTAGGATCTCGTCGGGGTCATCTGCGCGAAACTGAGTGACTAGCGACAACAGGCACTCCTGGCACTGTGCCTGCCGTGCGTGCCGCTCCCAGTTCGGTTGCCACAAGTCCAGAGTGAAGAGTCTCACGCCGGAAAGAGAGTTGAGGCCGCCAAGCTTCGTCTGCAGGTTTTGGACGAGGAGCTCGGCCATGTCGGCGCAGAGCGCCACGCATGCGTCGTGATGACCTGGTCCACGATAATTCGCGTTGCTGCGCTGGTGTAGGGTGAAGGTGAAGCGGTTGATGCTGCCATCCGAAGACGCTCCTTCCACCACCATCTCTGGCGACCCCTTCGGTCCATACTTCTCAATGAACCGGAAAAGCCGCTCGTTGGGTCCCCGCCCAAAGTCGTCTCCACAGTCGATGTACCGGCTCTCCAAGAGAGAGGTTGTCGAGCTGCCACACACAAGTCAAACAGTAAAGTCGCGCACAATTTGCGTATGCACCAAGGCATAGTCGAGCTGCCACACACAAGTCAAACAGTAAGTTAGTACATGGGTATACGTACTTCATATAAACAAATCATATACTGACGTCACTTACCTCCCCCTGCTGGAAAACCTTGGAGAGGACGTTGAGCAGCTCAAGAATTTCCACGAGGAACCTGAGCAGGAACTGAAACCAGTACAACGTGATGAGCTCGTACATGGTTTGGTCCTTCCACTCTGACAGCATCACCACGATGGCATGCAGGACTTCGACAAAGCGCGCGACTGCAGCACCCCTCGAAAGCCACCGAATCTCATGTATCCCTTGCACCTCGAGATTCGTGGATGTGAAGACCTCCTGCAGCTCCATGAAACGTTGATGCCACGATCCAGAACGCCCCAGGTACTCAGCGACGGCGCGGATCATGTCGTCAACCATGTTGAATGTGCGAGAAACTCTGCAGCAGCTTTGGCAGCCAATGCCTCTCTGCACATCATACAAACACCCAGGGTTAGTTGTTTACATATGAGGTTTAAAAACAAATAATGAGAATCATCACCAACCGGTGAGCGATGCAGTGGAACGAGACGAGGTTGGGGATGAGCATCCGAAGATGAGCAACTACACCACTTTGGTGCCCCACCATCAAAATTGCGCCGTCCGTGCTCACTCCCAAAATACGGCGGAGATCAGCGCCCACAGCCCTGAGGTGGGAGAGCAACAAGCTACACAGGGATGCATCGTCAGCTTTCTCAACGTGAGATGTGCAAGAAACTCTGTAACAATTTGACTGTCACGCAGAAAGATGGCAAACACAATCATGTGTTTGCCGCGCCGCCAGTCGGTGCTCTCGTCCAGCGTGATCCCGATGAAGGGTCTCATTAAGAGGTGTTCCAGCTGCGTTGTTTGAAGCCACGTCCCAATTGCTTGAGTAAGTTCTCCATAGCCGCACCTGTATAAATAAAAACACGGTAGTAAGCGACTGAAGAAGAGTGAATGTTAAAAAGGTGGTTACAACCGAAAACACTTACATATTGCAGTACGTGCAGTACCCCTGTTCCGGAAACCCGGGTACCTTCTTCTTTGCCAGATAGCGCAATAGCAGAATCCATGAGTCCATGGGCTCGTTGCACTTGCTCATGAAGTACAGCGAGTCCACGAGCGACGAAACCTGCAACAGCTCCTTGTCCTGCGCTTTCGGGTGTAGGTCGATGCGCTGCTGTCCCTCCACTTTCTACAAGAGGTCCTCCTGCCTCTGCAGAGCAAACCGATGCTTCACGGTCCCTTCATGTTTCTTGAAGGCCTGCGTTTGCACGTCGGTAGCACCTTCTCCATGCCGCCCACATTTGCCTGTCAAGCCAGCAAACTCCAAGCATATGCTGCACTTAAAAGCAGGGGCACCAGAGGTAGTTTTAGTAAGAATCAGCCACGCGTAATCGGTACACCACTTAGTTTTGTAACGATCGTGAGCTTCTTCATATTTCAACTCAAACTTCTCAGGAGTGGGCTTTGAGCTATCCTGCATAGGAGATTTGTCGCTCGCTGGAGCTTCAACAGTCAAGGGAGGAGGTGGAATTGCCCACGCAATGGTGGACTGTCGGTACCGCAGCTTCGTCGGTGGCGCGGGACGGGACGGTGTTTCAACGGACGCCTCATGGACCACCGTCGGTGGCGCAGCTGCCACTGGTTCAGTGGCGACCTCGTGCAGAGGTTCTGAGTGCGTGGAATCCAGAGCGTGACTCGAGCTGGGTTGCGACGGTGGTGCTGGCGGGGCACGAGGCATCTCTTAGGCCGATCTAATAAAGTCCAGGCCAGTCATGATTTCGCATCTAGGGCGACAATCTGCATCTTCTTCGTCGTCGGGCCGTTCAGCGGCACCGTCTGAAGCTGCCATTGAATCTGCTGAACAGTGGTTCTGCGAGGTCGGGAGGAGCCTGAAACAGGGGTTCAGGCAGTAGTTTCAGGCGAGGGCATTGAACTGAAGCGAGAGAGGCAGGCCATTGAGGGGCTGGAAGGAACGGTGGCGATGAGGAAGCTGAGAGGTCCTCGTATTAGGACCTCTCATCTCCCTGGTGGTCCTTGCATGCACGTCACCTGGTTGTGTATGCAGGGAAGGTGGGGTGGGTGGGGTGGGTGGATGGTTGTGGTGTCGTGCGAGGAGCAGCGCGCTGCAAGCTATGCGTTGGCAAGGAGGAAGGTGGGGTGGGGTGGACGGTTGTTGTGTCATCGGAAGAGCAGCGCGCTGCGAGCTATGCGTTGGCAGGAATCTTGCCAACGCTGCCTGTTGCGCAGCCACGATTGGTTGGAATTGATGCTGATTACAACATTCCTGTATCAACGCGACTGTGCGGTGCCGCGCTCGGGAAACTTAGGGTTCCCGCCCGTGATTGACAGTGTTAGTCCTACACTTCGCCAGGCTGGCGGAAATCCCTATATTGCCTGTTTCAGTGTGCACCCCCGATAAAAGGCTGAGGGCTCAGCCTACACTCATACATTTAGGCTGAAATTTCAGCCAAGTCTAAAAAAAAACTCTGAAAAATCAGCTAAGGGACATAAAAAATAACTTTGAGTTTAGCCTAGGTAAAAAAAAAATGCCTCATCTAACGCTGAATCAGCGTAAAAAGGCTGATATCTAGGGCCCTGGTTACGAGCTGATCTGATTTTGCAAGATAACCGTGGAAACATACGATATCCGCTATATAAGCAGAAGTTGTGAAACAATGATTGGAATTCTAAAAGAAACGCCAGTAAAGCTCTAAAATGTTGTGTTTGAGGATTTTGTTTTTTCTACGAAGTGTTTTTTTATTAACCCACGAATATCGCGTCCGTTTTGAGCGAAACCATTCTTTACGATCACGGGTCCCCACCCTGCCAGAGTCATCTATTTCTGCCTGTGAACCACATGCCCTTCTCCGATCAACTAGTTTACTGCGGCAACCGTAGCGTATCATTGTGATCGGTGAATTCCGACATTTGGGATTTGATTGGCGGAGAATAGTAGATATAAGCACTACGACTGTCGCCCCCCTTGATTCGCAGCAGCACGTCGTCCGTCGTAGGGATGGTCGCAGTCGCAGTCGCAGCGAGCGACATCGCATGGCTGCTCCTGGTCGGCGCGGTCTGGGGAATCACGAATCCGCTCATCAAGCGCGGCGCCGCGATGTCGAAGCGCCACATCAAAGCGGACGAATCCGCCGCCGCCGCTGCCGGCAAAACTGCCGGCCTGGAAGCTTCCATGTCGTTTCCTGAAAGATTGTCCTTCAGATGCAGGAGATTCGTCCACGTGGTTACTCGTGATTGGCAGGTTGGTCGAAGGGAGGGAGTAGGTAGGAGGCAAGGGTTCAGAGAGATGTTAGCGGCATTTCTTAAGAGCTCCAGCCGTACGCGTTTAAAGCTTGGTGTGGGCTCGTGTTTCAATAGAGACTGGGAAACGTGAGGCCGACAGAGTTGTTCGGAAGGGCTGCTTCACAGACGTGCTTCGCTTACAACACTGAACTAAATTCCTGCTTCCCCTCGTTTCCGCCGCTCCCCCCTCCCGTTTTTTCCCCACCTTCCCCTTGTTTCCCCCCTTCCTTCCCCTCGTTTACCCCCCTGCTTCTGCTAGTTTCCCCTCCTGCTTCCGCTTGTTTCCCCCCCTTCTTCTGATCGTTTCCCCACCTGCTTCCACTCGTTTTCCCCCCTGCTTCCGCCTGTTTCCCCCCCTGGTTCCGCTCGTTCCCCCCCTGCTTCCGGTCGTTTCCCCTCCTGCTTCCGCTTGTTTCCCCCCCTGCTTCCGGTCGTTTCCCCTCCTGCTTCCGCTTGTTTCCCCCCCTGCTTCCGCTCGTTTCCCCCCCTGCTTTCAGTCGTTTCCCCCCCTGCTTCCAGTCGTTTCCCCCCCTGCTTCCGCTTGTTTCCCTCCCTGCTTCCGCTCGTTTCCCCCACCTGCTTCCGCTTGTTTACCCCCCTCGTTCCCCTCGATTTTTCCCCTTATGCATACACCCTGTGAGCTCAACTCACACACACGTGTGAGCTCACACACGACTCTGTTCAGGAAACGGTTCAGTTCAGTTCAGGGAACGGAATCTGCCAGATTCTCCGCTGCTTCCCCGCTGCTTCCCCGCTGCTTCCCCGCTGCTTCCCCGCTGCTTCCCCGCTGCTTCCCCGCTGCTTCCCCGCTGCTTCCCCGCTGCTTCCTCTCTGCTTCCCCGCTGCTTCCCCGTTGCCCCAAGACCTCACCGCATGCATCCCTCCCTGTGCTGTGCATGCTTCCTCCTCTTTCCTGCACCCTGCTGGGCGCATCTCATATTGCCACACACCCGCCTCTCCTGTTGCTCCCTGCTGCTGCTCCCTCCCTGTCTTGCATGTCGCGATGCTTCTCACATTCCACCGCTCTGGATCTCTGCCATCCATTTCTTTTCGCACTGCGTGCCTTCTTGCCCTTCATGCACATTTCTTCCTCTCTCTCCATCCCTCTTACCTTACCCTCCTCGCAGTCCTACCCACGCCCCCCTCTTCCCTTTCCTTTCCCGTGCCCCTCCGTCCTTCTGTCTTTGACGTCCCACTTCTTCTCTTCCTCTTGTTTTTGAGAATTCTCAAAAGCCCTCCGTCCTTCTGTCTTTGACGTCCCACTTCTTCTCTTCCTCTTGTTTTTGAGAATTCTCAAAAGCCCTCCGTCCTTCTGTCTTTGACGTCCCACTTCTTCTCTTCCTCTTGTTTTTGAGAATTCTCAAAAGCCCTCCGTCCTTCTGTCTTTGACGTCCCACTTCTTCTCTTCCTCTTGTTTTTGAGAATTCTCAAAAGCCCTCCGTCCTTCTGTCTTTGACGTCCCACTTCTTCTCTTCCTCTTGTTTTTGAGAATTCTCAAAAGCCCTCCGTCCTTCTGTCTTTGACGTCCCACTTCTTCTCTTCCTCTTGTTTTTGAGAATTCTCAAAAGCCCTCCGTCCTTCTGTCTTTGACGTCCCACTTCTTCTCTTCCTCTTGTTTTTGAGAATTCTCAAAAGCCCTCCGTCCTTCTGTCTTTGACGTCCCACTTCTTCTCTTCCTCTTGTTTTTGAGAATTCTTAAAAGCCCTCCGTCCTTCTGTCTTTGACGTCCCACTTCTTCTCTTCCTCTTGTTTTTGAGAATTCTCAAAAGCCCTCCGTCCTTCTGTCTTTGACGTCCCACTTCTTCTCTTCCTCTTGTTTTTGAGAATTCTCAAAAGCCCTCCGTCCTTCTGTCTTTGACGTCCCACTTCTTCTCTTCCTCTTGTTTTTGAGAATTCTCAAAAGCCCTCCGTCCTTCTGTCTTTGACGTCCCACTTCTTCTCTTCCTCTTGTTTTTGAGAATTCTCAAAAGCCCTCCGTCCTTCTGTCTTTGACGTCCCACTTCTTCTCTTCCTCTTGTTTTTGAGAATTCTCTAAAGCCCTCCGTCCTTCTGTCTTTGACGTCCCACTTCTTCTCTTCCTCTTGTTTTTGAGAATTCTCAAAAGCCCTCCGTCCTTCTGTCTTTGACGTCCCACTTCTTCTCTTCCTCTTGTTTTTGAGAATTCTCAAAAGCCCTCCGTCCTTCTGTCTTTGACGTCCCACTTCTTCTCTTCCTCTTGTTTTTGAGAATTCTCAAAAGCCCTCCGTCCTTCTGTCTTTGACGTCCCACTTCTTCTCTTCCTCTTGTTTTTGAGAATTCTTAAAAGCCCTCCGTCCTTCTGTCTTTGACGTCCCACTTCTTCTCTTCCTCTTGTTTTTGAGAATTCTCAAAAGCCCTCCGTCCTTCTGTCTTTGACGTCCCACTTCTTCTCTTCCTCTTGTTTTTGAGAATTCTCAAAAGCCCTCCGTCCTTCTGTCTTTGACGTCCCACTTCTTCTCTTCCTCTTGTTTTTGAGAATTCTCAAAAGCCCTCCGTCCTTCTGTCTTTGACGTCCCACTTCTTCTCTTCCTCTTGTTTTTGAGAATTCTCAAAAGCCCTCCGTCCTTCTGTCTTTGACGTCCCACTTCTTCTCTTCCTCTTGTTTTTGAGAATTCTCAAAAGCCCTCCGTCCTTCTGTCTTTGACGTCCCACTTCTTCTCTTCCTCTTGTTTTTGAGAATTCTCAAAAGCCCTCCGTCCTTCTGTCTTTGACGTCCCACTTCTTCTCTTCCTCTTGTTTTTGAGAATTCTCAAAAGCCCTCCGTCCTTCTGTCTTTGACGTCCCACTTCTTCTCTTCCTCTTGTTTTTGAGAATTCTCAAAAGCCCTCCGTCCTTCTGTCTTTGACGTCCCACTTCTTCTCTTCCTCTTGTTTTTGAGAATTCTCAAAAGCCCTCCGTCCTTCTGTCTTTGACGTCCCACTTCTTCTCTTCCTCTTGTTTTTGAGAATTCTCAAAAGCCCTCCGTCCTTCTGTCTTTGACGTCCCACTTCTTCTCTTCCTCTTGTTTTTGAGAATTCTCAAAAGCCCTCCGTCCTTCTGTCTTTGACGTCCCACTTCTTCTCTTCCTCTTGTTTTTGAGAATTCTCTAAAGCCCTCCGTCCTTCTGTCTTTGACGTCCCACTTCTTCTCTTCCTCTTGTTTTTGAGAATTCTCAAAAGCCCTCCGTCCTTCTGTCTTTGACGTCCCACTTCTTCTCTTCCTCTTGTTTTTGAGAATTCTCAAAAGCCCTCCGTCCTTCTGTCTTTGACGTCCCACTTCTTCTCTTCCTCTTGTTTTTGAGAATTCTCAAAAGCCCTCCGTCCTTCTGTCTTTGACGTCCCACTTCTTCTCTTCCTCTTGTTTTTGAGAATTCTCAAAAGCCCTCCGTCCTTCTGTCTTTGACGTCCCACTTCTTCTCTTCCTCTTGTTTTTGAGAATTCTCAAAAGCCCTCCGTCCTTCTGTCTTTGACGTCCCACTTCTTCTCTTCCTCTTGTTTTTGAGAATTCTCAAAAGCCCTCCGTCCTTCTGTCTTTGACGTCCCACTTCTTCTCTTCCTCTTGTTTTTGAGAATTCTCAAAAGCCCTCCGTCCTTCTGTCTTTGACGTCCCACTTCTTCTCTTCCTCTTGTTTTTGAGAATTCTCAAAAGCCCTCCGTCCTTCTGTCTTTGACGTCCCACTTCTTCTCTTCCTCTTGTTTTTGAGAATTCTCTAAAGCCCTCCGTCCTTCTGTCTTTGACGTCCCACTTCTTCTCTTCCTCTTGTTTTTGAGAATTCTCAAAAGCCCTCCGTCCTTCTGTCTTTGACGTCCCACTTCTTCTCTTCCTCTTGTTTTTGAGAATTCTCAAAAGCCCTCCGTCCTTCTGTCTTTGACGTCCCACTTCTTCTCTTCCTCTTGTTTTTGAGAATTCTCAAAAGCCCTCCGTCCTTCTGTCTTTGACGTCCCACTTCTTCTCTTCCTCTTGTTTTTGAGAATTCTCAAAAGCCCTCCGTCCTTCTGTCTTTGACGTCCCACTTCTTCTCTTCCTCTTGTTTTTGAGAATTCTCAAAAGCCCTCCGTCCTTCTGTCTTTGACGTCCCACTTCTTCTCTTCCTCTTGTTTTTGAGAATTCTCAAAAGCCCTCCGTCCTTCTGTCTTTGACGTCCCACTTCTTCTCTTCCTCTTGTTTTTGAGAATTCTCAAAAGCCCTCCGTCCTTCTGTCTTTGACGTCCCACTTCTTCTCTTCCTCTTGTTTTTGAGAATTCTCAAAAGCCCTCCGTCCTTCTGTCTTTGACGTCCCACTTCTTCTCTTCCTCTTGTTTTTGAGAATTCTCTAAAGCCCTCCGTCCTTCTGTCTTTGACGTCCCACTTCTTCTCTTCCTCTTGTTTTTGAGAATTCTCAAAAGCCCTCCGTCCTTCTGTCTTTGACGTCCCACTTCTTCTCTTCCTCTTGTTTTTGAGAATTCTCAAAAGCCCTCCGTCCTTCTGTCTTTGACGTCCCACTTCTTCTCTTCCTCTTGTTTTTGAGAATTCTCAAAAGCCCTCCGTCCTTCTGTCTTTGACGTCCCACTTCTTCTCTTCCTCTTGTTTTTGAGAATTCTCAAAAGCCCTCCGTCCTTCTGTCTTTGACGTCCCACTTCTTCTCTTCCTCTTGTTTTTGAGAATTCTCAAAAGCCCTCCGTCCTTCTGTCTTTGACGTCCCACTTCTTCTCTTCCTCTTGTTTTTTAGAATTCTCAAAAGCCCTCCGTCCTTCTGTCTTTGACGTCCCACTTCTTCTCTTCCTCTTGTTTTTGAGAATTCTCAAAAGCCCTCCGTCCTTCTGTCTTTGACGTCCCACTTCTTCTCTTCCTCTTGTTTTTGAGAATTCTCAAAAGCCCTCCGTCCTTCTGTCTTTGACGTCCCACTTCTTCTCTTCCTCTTGTTTTTGAGAATTCTCAAAAGCCCTCCGTCCTTCTGTCTTTGACGTCCCACTTCTTCTCTTCCTCTTGTTTTTGAGAATTCTCAAAAGCCCTCCGTCCTTCTGTCTTTGACGTCCCACTTCTTCTCTTCCTCTTGTTTTTGAGAATTCTCTAAAGCCCTCCGTCCTTCTGTCTTTGACGTCCCACTTCTTCTCTTCCTCTTGTTTTTGAGAATTCTCAAAAGCCCTCCGTCCTTCTGTCTTTGACGTCCCACTTCTTCTCTTCCTCTTGTTTTTGAGAATTCTCAAAAGCCCTCCGTCCTTCTGTCTTTGACGTCCCACTTCTTCTCTTCCTCTTGTTTTTGAGAATTCTCAAAAGCCCTCCGTCCTTCTGTCTTTGACGTCCCACTTCTTCTCTTCCTCTTGTTTTTGAGAATTCTCAAAAGCCCTCCGTCCTTCTGTCTTTGACGTCCCACTTCTTCTCTTCCTCTTGTTTTTGAGAATTCTCAAAAGCCCTCCGTCCTTCTGTCTTTGACGTCCCACTTCTTCTCTTCCTCTTGTTTTTGAGAATTCTCAAAAGCCCTCCGTCCTTCTGTCTTTGACGTCCCACTTCTTCTCTTCCTCTTGTTTTTGAGAATTCTCAAAAGCCCTCCGTCCTTCTGTCTTTGACGTCCCACTTCTTCTCTTCCTCTTGTTTTTGAGAATTCTCAAAAGCCCTCCGTCCTTCTGTCTTTGACGTCCCACTTCTTCTCTTCCTCTTGTTTTTGAGAATTCTCAAAAGCCCTCCGTCCTTCTGTCTTTGACGTCCCGCTTCTTCTCTTCCTCTTGTTCTTGAGAATTCTCAAAAGCCCTCCGTCCTTCTGTCTTTGACGTCCCACTTCTTCTCTTCCTCTTGTTTTTGAGAGTTCTCAAAAGCCCTCCGTCCTTCTGTCTTTGACGTCCCACTTCTTCTCTTCCTCTTGTTTTTGAGAATTCTCAAAAGCCCTCCGTCCTTCTGTCTTTGACGTCCCACTTCTTCTCTTCCTCTTGTTTTTGAGAATTCTCAAAAGCCCTCCGTCCTTCTGTCTTTGACGTCCCACTTCTTCTCTTCCTCTTGTTTTTGAGAATTCTCAAAAGCCCTCCGTCCTTCTGTCTTTGACGTCCCACTTCTTCTCTTCCTCTTGTTTTTGAGAATTCTCAAAAGCCCTCCGACCTTCTGTCTTTGACGTCCCACTTCTTCTCTTCCTCTTGTTTTTGAGAATTCTCAAAAGCCCTCCGTCCTTCTGTCTTTGACGTCCCACTTCTTCTCTTCCTCTTGTTTTTGAGAATTCTCAAAAGCCCTCCGTCCTTCTGTCTTTGACGTCCCA